TTCTAGGCCTTCTTTTATGGTATCAGCTTGTACTGTAAGCGCTGCTTTCATTTGAACGAAAACATCAAGTGAACTCGCATTCCTTGTATTCAACAATTTTTCTCAGGTGTGGCAAAATGACGTACGAAGGTGATAACACCTGCTTGAGAGTTGTAACATGGGAAAGTTTTTTACAATATTTTCTGACTCTAAAATATTACGAGCTAGATCAAAAAACAAGGGCTTTTGAAATTAACGCAAAACTGTTTGATTTTTTGAGACGTTAGACAAGGTCGCCGATCACAGTGATCATTTTTGTCACCAAAAGCAATTTTAAGAAAAGAGATTCAAGCGTTGTACAAAAAGTTAACTGTTCATTTACGCGTAATTGGTAAGTTGTAAACAATTAAGTGTACGGATTAACTCACATTAACCCACTTTTTGAAGGGTCAAAAATCAAATGATTTTGAACACTTGTTCGAATTTCCTAGAAAAATCATCTTCTTTTACAGTATGATCACTCCTCCTGCAGCTATTCACAATTTGGCAAAGTCTTATGCAAAAGGTTGTCATTTGGATATTAACTTTTTTTATTGTTATCCGTATTACTTTCTTTTTAGACAGTAATACGAATAACAATAGAAAAAGTTCCTTTGCATTCCTCTGAAAGATTGCCAACTGCCCAAAAAATGACAGAATTTTTTCTTGATTAATATGTACAATTTCACGTCCTACGCAAGCATCTTAGAAAAGGTTTTAACAGTTTCTGTAATCAAGCTTATAGTGATTTACTGGATCAATTCTAGAAGAGCCCGCTTTTGGTGTAGAGCCAGAACACATACACTATCCCGCAGCACATGTTCCACGTCGCTCCAGTAGCTGCAGCATTTCCTGTCGCTCCAGTTGCACCTGTGGTCCCATGTGTTTCTGATATTTCCTACATTAAGCTACCACCATATGTTCCCGGTACGGGTCATATATTTGAAGCCGCAGTCTTTTCAATTCAAATTTTGAACACTTGCTTCTCCCCAAAAAAATCATCTTTTTTCAAAGTATGGTTCTTACTATTATCCTCTTGCAGCTATTCACAATTTGGCAAAGTCTTATTGCAAAAGGTTGTCATCTGAATATTAACTTTTTTCTATT